AAAGGGAAAAATCTTCTAAAATTATTAAAAAAAACCCCTCATCTTCTACTCCCAGGGATTCATTTCAGGGTTTGGCTCAGCTCAGTGAACAAGCGTAGGGCCTAAGCCATAAATTGCTATTTGTAAAAAATTAGAAAAACATATACTTTTATTAGGCATTAAATTAACTACATAGAAAGAATGAGAAAACATTAGGTTGTCACTGATTTTTTTTTTTCCCTAATAGACAGCACTGCATTTAAATGAGCACTATAATTCTTAGACCTTAATTCTAGCAAACCTAATTGTGCATGGATCACTTTGAATATGATAAAATATAAAGCACACATCAATGGATTTAATATTTACTGCGCTACTTAACTGCACTTTAAACTGAACAAAAAAAAAAAAAGATTTGATGGCTTGCTTTACTTCGTAAATAACAATATCCTAGTCGAAGATCAGGGGAGATTTTGCCAACAGTAAACTTGACTGATTTATGGGGTTTTTTTTAAAGATTATTTTAGTTCCTTGTTAATAAAAGAAACAACGGGGCTACAGACAGTTTAAATTGGCCGCGGCAAATAAATGTCAGTTCCATATCTACGTGCAGGTAAATTAAATGTTAATGACTTACAAAGAATACAAAATGTGTCCATTACTATTTAAAGCACCAACATGAAACACCACACCAACATGAAATCATTAAATAAATCTGAAAGGCAGCAATTTAACAGGTTGCTAATTCTGTCATTTGTATCACCTTGTATTTGTGAAGAGCAAAGTAAATGGAGTTTATGGCCCCTGAGCCAAGCCCAGCACAGAAAGTTAGATGCTATTTACATCCATCTACGATTTCAAAATATTGTTTAACCTGGAACCAGAAATATCCAGATTTTGTGCTAGCTCCTCTTAATAAAAGTGTGAAATTCGCATTGCTCCATGACAGTATGTTATGTTTTAATCTTCTTTTATTGTTTTGACTCTGATTAAAACACAGCTCCAAACAAGCAGAAGAACTGGGGGGGAGGAGGTCACAGTCCTTACACAACGCTATTTTATCTTTTTTAACATTTTCTTCTTAAAAAAGATCATTCCTATAACTTCCTGAAATAACCCTGCCTATTGAAAATTGCCCTAATTTGGTTTTCCAAGACAGAAAAGGACTAAAAATTACACTTCCATTTTTTTTAAGGGTACAGCTTTATTTGACTCAACAATAAAACTGCCTCGTGAAGCTTCTCAGCCCCTGCATTTCAAAATCCAGTGGAGCCATTCAGAACTCCCTCCGCTGGAACTGATCCTCAGAACTGGCTCATTGTCCCTCAACATCTTCTTCTGTGGTAGCCAATAAGAAGTGCTGGCTAAACAACATAAGTGTTTTTTCTATCTTTTCTCTTTTTTTTTTTTTTCCCCCCCCTCTATACGAAAGCAAAAAGCTCCTTTCTTCTCTCTGCCACTCACATGAGGGAATAAAGTTCCACGTATTTCTCCTCTATCCACACTCCCCTCCTCCTGTCCAGATACTGCCAGCGCTGCAGAAGCCTTGTAGATGGCAGCAGCAGCCAACACAAAACAATAACAACCACCACAACAGAAAATATCCCCAAACCTCCAGCTGATAGCCTCTTCCTTCGAGCCTTCACCTGATGCCAGCCTAATTCTCCTTGCCTGTATTTTTGAGTGTTCTAATAACGAGCTGTGGCAGGTATTTCCCACGGCCCTTTGCACAGCTTTCCTAAGATGCTGGGATATTTATTGCCCCTGCTCACCGAAGAGCCTCGGGTGTTGTTTTCTGTGAACTCCTTCCTTCTCTTCCCCCAGGAGTCTGAGGAAGGCCGACAGCATTCCAGACTCCTCGGGAAAAGGAGAAATTCTGCATTCCTTGTGAAAATCTACCTTTCCTTGGCTTCTGTCTGAGATGGTTATTTTCTTGTGTGACAATTTCTAAATACTTTGGGAAGGTAAAGTACTTTTTACTCCTATAAGCAAAAGTCTTGGCACAGCTCTCGATCCTGTTACAGGCCTTTAGTTATCCTGCTCAGCGTTTGCAGCAAGTCTTCTTCTGATAGACAGAACCTCTGGTTTTGAATTTGCAAACCTAATACTGTCTAAGAAACTGTATTACTTGCTATTACAAAGAATCTGGTGAGGATTCAGAGGCCCCACTGGAAGAGATATGACACAAGACACACAGACCTGTTACCCATTTCATTCACAAGATTACACCCCCAGCTCAGGGCCAGTAATGATTTTGGGTTCTCAAATCTCGCTGAAGACTGAGAATGTAAGGGGATGGTTTCTTTCCCCCGCTGAAATGCACAGTCAGCACTTCATCTACTTGGAGTACAAATTTAAGAGGGAGACAGTGAACAACATTTGGGCAAATCTGGTCACAATCTGAGTAGTGCATCTGACTAGGAAGCAAATCAGCTCACCTGCCCAAAGCTGCAGGTGTGGTTAAGGCACATCACACTGCTGGTTCTCCAGGACCTGTGGTGTTGGGAGCAGGGGTTGCTGCTCCTGAAAGATAAGCCAAAAGTGGGCAACACTAACGCTACAGAGCTGAGGCTTCCACATCCAGAACAAAGCATGTTCAACTCAGCAATACACCAGCACATGGGTCACCTTCACTCCATAAATCCACAGCTATTCCCACAGCCAAGCAAAAGCCGAGTAAGCCATGCCATGAACGACAAATCATCTGCCCCTTTCACCGCAGCATCGTGACCCCAGAGCAGGCAGAATGGGATTTCTCTTGGGTTAGGAGACACTTCACAACCTCCTCCCTATCTCTGAATGTTCATTTCCTAAAGCCAGTTTGATGCAGGAAAATGTTCCACATTGCCCACTCATCCCGTGCTGTGTCCTGCGTGCCCAGAGCATTGCTGGAGCTGTGGATTTATTGTCTACTGGAGAAATTACTCTCCTCTTCCAAGTCTTCACACATTTTTTTTTTGATTTCTTTTGTTTCTGGAGGATGTCCTCCTTCAGGCAGCAGTGGGGCAGGTGCCTCCCAGGCAGCTCTTCCCCCAAAACCAGCATCAGCTGGCAGATCAAATCCAAGCTCTGGCTTGAACAATCGCCCTGCACATCTCCCTGGAGAGGCTGAGGGTGTCTGGCCTATCCCACCCGTGGAGAGTTTGGGAGATTATTACTGTGCCTCCAATCCACACCAGACCCTGTTATTTAGGCATTTCATCCACTAACCAACACAGATTGGAGTTTAAACACCTACGCACATTTTAATAAGGTTTATCATCCCAAGTCTAATTTTCTCTCCCTCTACATTTAACACTCACTGACATTAATGAGAGCTGCATGTGTGGGTACAAACCGACTCCAGGCAATTTTACAGCTTGGTTTTTTTAAAAATGTAATTAGAAAAGCACAGTGAAATGCTTAATCTATGTGTTTTGGGAGAAATGCTTAATGGTGCCTAATTAATGCATAAAATTAACATTTAGAAAACTAGTATCCAGGCTCTGCAATAATCAAAATATTTGCAGAAATCGGAATAGAATGAAAAATAAGATTATAAATGCCACAATCTTCACCACTAGCAAAACACATCCTGAGGTCCAGGATTTCAGATATACAACACAACCTCACCATCATCAGAAATGACCGTTGGTCATTTCTGATGATGGTGAGGTTGTGTTGTACATCTGTACATCATCTTTGCAAAATGCTCCAGGCAGCCCGTTCTTTTTACTCCCAGCGTGAGGCATTTGGATGGAATTGGGCTCACTACCTGATGTCAGAGTAAGTTCTGTGGTTCCCAGTTGAGCCTTTGACAGTGACTAATTCTGGCATTCAGCTCGGTGAAACAACAGATGAGGATTCCTACGAGGTTGTGTTTTCACTGCATTATTTTAAACACACAATATTTTTCAGTTATGAAATCCAGTGAATTTACTATCAGCCATTGGGAAAAAAAAAAAAAAAAAACCAGAGCAATTTCTGATGACAGCCAAACTATCAGATTTGGTTTCCAAAATATCCTCTGCATTTCTCTTTATGCCAGGTAAGCCTTCAGTAGCTGAGTTCTGACACTTGGTAGCTCTTAAGCACAGACATCTATTAGTCATAAAAGAAGATATGGACACAATTCTCAAGGAATTCAGCTCTATATTCTAGTCGTGAGGAAAGAAAGACACTTTGAGTTAGTTAAACTCTGAGGTCCATTGAAAAATTAATTTCACTAAAGGCATGAAGTTAAAAGGCGCAAATAAAACAGAATCTACTTTGTATCACACCCAATTCATTTTGCCACAACATTTGCAGAAAGAACACGTTGAAATGCCCTTCCACGCTGCTTGAAACCTAATTTTGGAGAACACCAGAGTGAGACAAAACGAGAGCCATTGCCAATTCTGGAGTTATTTTCAGAGCAGTTGACCACCAAAGCCTTTGTTTAATTTCAGCAGACTTGTGTTCAGCAGCTCTGAAAATTGGGCCCAAAATGATAGAGACGATTTTGGACCAGGGTCACCCCCCCTTCCAGAACCACCCAGCAATTCCATTTCCCACACCGACACCAGGAGGGGATTGATTTTGGAAGCTTCTCAATGATTTCAGTGGAACTGGGCCTGGAGCCGCTCTTAACACTCCCGAACAGCAGTTCTGGAGCACCACCATCAGCGCCCAGTGTGCTCTGCTGATGTTTGGGTGGGGCGGGCAGGCCATGACGAGCCCCAGGGCTGTGGGGACAGGGCTGGAGGGGCAGTGCCAGGGCCAGCAGGCAGTTGGGCTGGGCCAAGGGCTCTGCAACCGCCCTGGGATGTGGCATCTGCACCCCAGGGCAACTGCCGAAACGGCTGATGGACACCCGGCAGGTGAGTGGCAAAGGTGCAGCTCTCCCCGTGCCACGCCCAGAGTGGGGGGGGGGTCTAGGTGGGATTGGGCTGCCCCACAGGGAACAGCAGGGTAGTTTGCTGCAACAGCCAGCTTGCTGCTCCTGAGCTGGCGGCCGGTGCTGGGAGCGGGGACAGAGCTGGGAGGAGACAGGGGGCACCTTCATGCTGGACGTGGCGGGCAGCTCCTCCTTTCACCCCAGCGCTGGCTGGAGCGAGCGTTGGTGGGATCACCAGCTCCGGCAGCGGAATCCCCGGAACGCTCTTTGCCCCAAACAATCTCCTTGGCAACAGAACCCCCCGAATGCCGCTCGCCCCAAACAATCCCCAAGGTGGCCGAGCACCATGGCAGGTACAGCAGCAGGCTCCCACCCCTCCCGGGAGCCCTGCCCTCCAGGTACCCCCCACCGGCTGTGCCCCCCAGTACCTCACCTCACCACCCCTTTCTGCTTCCCCCAACAGAGAGGTTCCCTCTCCAGGTGACAGTGTTGAAGGTGGCCAGCGTGAGCTTCGCTGCGCTGGCCAGGCCAGTCCCCGGAGCTCCCTGGGAGCTGCCCTCTGTCCCGGGGCTGCCGCTGTCCCCTGGGCCTGTCCAGCTCCACACTGGCACCCACCAGTTGGTCCCAGCCACCCTCAAGCAGGAGGTGCCAGCGCCTCTGGGGGCCCCGGGGCAGGTGGTGTCCCTCTCCCCGGTGGTGCAGCTTCCCTGGCCCATGCAGCTGCCTCCCTGTCCTTCTGCCTATGGCTGGGGACAGCAGCTGGTGACGGGGGCGCTTCTGCCCCACCAGCCAAGGGCTGTGGTCCAGGGAGAGCCCCTGTACCCCACGGGCTCTGGTGTGTTGTGTGTCCACCACCGACCTGCTCTGGCAGGCAGAACCACGATGGAGCCCAGAGGTGAGTTTGGGGGGTGGCAGAGCCCGTGGGTAGGCGGCCTGGCTGAGGAAAACCTCAACCTCTTGGGGTTCCATTTTCAGCAGCGGTTACCACCCCGGCCCCCAGGCAGCCCACGGATCTGCGAGAGGAGGGATCAACCGCCAGCACAGAGGCCATTCCTGAGCAGGCAGAGGACACCACCAGCCACCACCCGCTCGCCCAGCCTGAAACCCCGGCGGGTGAGGACACCGTCGGCGATGCCCCCAACAGCCCCACCCTGAGCGCCCTCCTGGACGACCTCTTTGAGTACCTGGCAGAGAGCGGCTGCCCCGGGGAACAGGTGCAGGTGCCCCAAGAGGACAGCGACGACACCGCCTTGGCCGCCAACGCCCCCAGCCTGACCGCTGAGGACCTGGACGAACTCCTCGAGTTCTGTGAATGCCTGCTGGAAGAAGATTGTCCCCAGGAGCCAGCGGTGGAGGCGCAGCAAAGGGACAGCGAGGATGCCCTACCCGCTCCCCCCAGCTTGCCCCCCTCCCTCAGCCCACGCAGTGACCCCCGGGCTCCCTCGCCCCGCAGGGCCCAGCCGGGGCAGGAGAAAACGCAGAAGCAGCCCCAGGCTGTTCTAAACCAGGTGCAGCTGCCACCAGGAGTCACCAGGACCCAGGGGGAGCCCAGAACAAGAGAGGTGGCAGCAGCCAGGCCCCGTGCCCGGCGCCAGCCAGCGGCACCCCCGCGGAAAAAGGGACCTTCCCGCAGGTCCACGTCGAGGCCCAGGAAAAGGCGGCGGCAGCGGTGACGCAGCTCCCGGGCCACGAGACACCCTGACCCGTCCCACATCCCTCCTTCTCCTTTAGAGCATTAAATAGTGGGATCGCAGCTCCTTTCTCCGTCTTGGGTTGTTTGGGTGGTTGGGAGGGGGGCAGCACCTCAGTGCAGCCTCTGCCCACCCCATGGGGGGCCAGGCATGGTGACCCAGAGGATGGCTCAGCATCGCCCTGGGAGCTGGGTACCCGTGGGAGAACACATAACTGGTGCAAAAACTCGGCTTCTCTGCTGTACCTTAGAGGCAGAGCAAGAGCAAACCACATTCCCATCACTGGATAAAGCCAGGTTTTGTTTGGAGTTATTACCGAGGGCTATGTTCACTCATTAAGCTTAAGTAAATAAACAACATTGCTTCAACGGGAATGGAAAACACTCACACTGCTGCTGAGAGGAAAGGAACCACTACTCCTATTTCAGCTGGAAGGCACCTGCTTTGATCATTTAATCCAACCTGACCTGGACTGACCAATTCAAGTAAAAGCATGTTATTAAGGGCATTTTCCAAAGGCCTCACGAACACTGACAGAAAATAGGGTGGGTTTTTTTAAGGAGGGGAAAATGCTGCTCTTGCATTGACCATTGCCCTGTTCCACAGTTCCTTCTATTGAGATATTCTGAAACACAAGAATCCTGAGTCCCTCTCCCAGAGGTGCCACTTGGCTTGCAGAGATTAGGAGGGAATGCACATTAGAGTAAGGGAAAATAAGGTAGGAAGCTGCCTGAAGTCAGTGCTAGAATAACCACTCTTCCCCCCAAACTTAGGGACATTTCCAAGCTGACATCAGACACCTAATTATTTTTTAAAGAGATTTCCTCCTTTGTTACCTTCTCTTTGAACACTGTGTATCATAGCAATGAATCACATCGGGCCTGAATTTGTTGCAGTTCAACCTCCAGTGATCTTGTGAGACCACACACACCTCTCCTGTTCCTGAAATCATTTACCTACCTGTTATGTGGAGGTTGTGACCTCAGAGACAACAAAGGAGTCCTCCAAAATTAGCTGCCAGAAGATAGGCAGGCTTGGAATTATATTTATTTTGCCATTTAGCTGCTCACCCTGTACAGGATGATCCCAACACTGCCAAAAAAGCAAGCACAGGGGACCTCATCACAACACTGAGCACAGGGTACAACAAAAAGGGGGAAATAAAAATACAAACAAACAAACAAACAGGACACCAAACAAAAACCCCAAACAAACATGGTTTCCTTAAAAAATATCAAAGGAAAGAAACTTCGGTTTGGAGCAGGCCCTTTCTGAAGGGCTTGTTCCACAAGAATCTTTTTCATAATAAATATGTCATATATAAAACATCACTTTTGCTAAAGAGCCAAGACTTCAAGCCTCTCACCCCCTGCAGTTACCTCCAGCAGTACAATTAATACTTAATCATGGCCTTGGTTTTCATGGACAACGATGCCTGGTGTGCTTTTGCTGAGGTAGAATAAATTATCCCTTCTCACTTTATAAATGAAGAACTGCTCTTCCAAATTATTTGGAATCTGAGTAACTACGCTGGACCCAAATATGGATATTTGCAAAACTGAGCCCTCATTTGTATTGATTTTTCATCATCCACAAGGAATTAAGCCGAGGAAGCAAGCCTGTAAAGTCTGTTTTACGGAACACAGGAAATAAATCAGCAATTAAAATAAAATCAAATATTCCATACAGCACCAGTTGACGCTGTCAGCTCTGTTCTCAGTACACAAAACATATTGATTAACTGCCTTTTACACACGTCTCCAAATTAATATCAAAATCAGCTGATTGCACTAACCTGTGGAAAAAAAGGAGCTCTTTGCTTACACTGCAGTTTAAGAACTATGGCACAGCACCCAAATATGAAAGATGCTTCTCCCTTTATTCCAGGAGGCAAAATGTTTCCTGACCCTGCAGAGACACGGGACACAATAAACAGTGGGAAGGCTTTAATCAGGGGCAGGATTTCCCTTTATTTGCACTCCCAACAGGGTGTTTCACCTGCCCCAGTGCTGATGGAAAACTTACTGTGTGCAGAACACCAACGTTATTCCACTGCCCACACTTACCACTGTAAATGGGGTGATCTGTCCACCAGCTCTGCCTCGAGGGCTTCTGTTTGTTTGTGCTGGAACAGCACACCAGGTTCCTTTTAAGAGAGGTCACAGATTGCACAATTCACAACAGATGAAGGGCAAGAGGTACCAAGAAAAATTACTGACCACAGCAGTGAAGAAAATCGACTTAGGGCAAAAAACAGACAGAAAAATGAGACCTTTAATAGCTCACCCGGGAGTGTTTCATCATACCAGAACAAGGAGAGATTGGCATATTATTGACATGTCAGTAGTCAGAAACAAATAGCTGAAAAAAAATAGGTGGAAAAAAAAACAGGTGAAAAAAAGCCCTCTTGGAAATGCTTTGTAGTATAGTTCTCTCTCACATCAGTGAATATGAAAGTGGGTGTTTGCTCTGTATGTGCTGTGATTTCTGAACCCAAGTAAAGAGGTTTTTCTCTACAGTACCACTTCAATCCCTTTTGGTTTCTGTATTTCTTTGCCATACCCAGCAATGTTTCTCTCGAGTTCTGATGAATCTCAGGTAATGCTCTTAGTCTAGTATTCATTTTACTGGCAAAAATTTCTTTAACTCAGTGGAAGAATCTAAGCACTTGGGAGTTCAGTTATTTATAGGGCTGTTAATGTAAACCCTCAATTAAAGAAAAACATTAGGAGTGTCTCAGAGAAAACTGTAATTTTAAGCAAAAATTTTCAGTCAAAACAAGTCTGAAATGTATTTAAAAATAAGCCTTTAGTGACACCTTTCAAGTCACATTTCAAAAAGCAATACATTATTTGCCTTCTAGCACCTCTAATGTTTAAATGTGTGCTATCGACAATTTTTTTCCCTCGTGATTTCATTTTTTTCAGTCAATGAGATCCTGAAATACTTTTAATTAAAATCTACTTTTCTGCTAATTACAAGATTCCAGGAAGTGGACCATTAGAGAAAGCTCTAAATAGTCTAAGACCTGTATTAAAACAATAGAAGTGGACAATAATGAAACTTCCAGTTTATTTGGCTGTCCTCCGTCTCCCTGACCTCTCCAGGTCTGATGTTTCCATGTTTTCAATTCAGATTTCATTGGAATCTTTTTGAAACTTGGATCCTTATATTTTCAAGGAAAGTTATCTAATATGAGTACAATTATTCAAACCAACATCTGCTGCCAGCAAGCACCCAGAACTTCAACATAACTTCTGATAGAATTCATGAAGTCTTTAAGTTAAAAGTTAAGCACAGGGCAGGGGTTCTTGCTGACAAAAATATTTACTATGAGAGCAATTCAGAGCAAAGAAATCATGGGGTAGGACAACTATGTAGTATTTTGTAAACATCATGAGTGGGCAAGAAAACTTCCCCGATGTTACAGAGCTCTAGATGCAAATGACCATAAAACCTGCTGTATATCTGTTTATATAAAAATAGGGTGGAAATTCTTATTGCCAAATCATTAGCATGGCAGATGTTTGAATTTTTGCAATATAATGGCTGTTACCAAGAGGACAAGAACTTTCCCACTGCAATGACAAAGCTTCACAACTAAAATGTTTCACCCCTGAGCTCACACATGGAACTGAAGGTTTGTTTGTTTGTTTTTTTTCACCTAGCTAAGGGACTGCCAGGAAGATGAGCACTGGGAAGGACACGCTGTATGCAACAGATCGTGGGAAGGAGGAGCAGTTGGAATCCATCACAGATAAGTGCAGTTTTGTGCATGTGGAGAAATGTAATCTCAAATTTCCACACACAGCAGCAGATTCTGAGGCGCTGGAGTTGGAATGTGCTGCTCCAGGAGAACTCGAGCACAATGCTCTGTGAAGGTCATAAAAAAGGGAATTGAGAGCTCCGAGTTATTAGGAAAGGAGCAGAGGAGAACACAGAAAACACTGTGATTCCTCCTATCAATATGCAGTGCACCAGGTTGCTCCAAGCCCCATCCGACCTGGCCATTTCAACTTGAAAACAGCCTACAAAATTAAGCTTTTACCAAAACCCACTGAAACAACTGGGCTACAACTCTGGAAAAATATTATTTCTCTATCTAAAGAGAGCTGAGTAAAGGCTTTCCTGCCGTAGTGTTTGCAGTGCACGATCACAGAACCAAAGAATGCTCAGACACACAGTGAAATGATCCAGTGCTTAAACACTCCTCTGCTCACATGTCCACAGCAAAAATCACTGTGAATCAAAACAGGACATGACAGTCCTGATGGCTGAGATGGCCCTGATGGTATTTAACTTGACAGACTCTTTCCCCTGATGTGTTTTGAATGCCTGGCAGCTTTCCTCCTTCTGGACACATCAAGGCGGGGGAATGAACAATCAGACAAACGAAAATGAACAAATGAACCAACCCCAAGCCATGTACCATTCAAATCAGAAAGAGAGATTCAGTCAGGAATGAATTATGATAAATTCATGTCCAGTGAGCCTGCTATCAGTGCCAGACTCCATCCCTCTCTGCCTGCACACAGATCCTGATCCAACTCCCTAAGGGGGAGCTTGGCAACATTTAGATGTAAGGCTGAAATAACAGGGGTGGGAAATGTGGGGTTTTTTATTGTTGTTGTTTGTTGCTTCTTTTTTTTTTTTTTTTTAATGGAATAGATTGCTGGTGTCACACAAACTTAGTGTAAATTCCATAATTTTTAATCCTCCTTCTGGGGAGAAGAATGAACTAAGTTTTAAAAATGGACAAGCGTTTGAGCGTCTTGCATTCGACTTACAACAGAGAAAACCTTCACAGGGATATGAAATGCAAAGCCCAGTCCCCTTGGAGCCACTGGGAAAGGCTTCAGGAGCTCAACACACCTGGCCTAAAAACTAGGGAAAATTCAACAGGATTTGCCTTTATGGGAAGAGAGGAGCAAGCCAGTTAATTTTCAAAAATACCAATAATTTAAGCCATGGAGGATTATAAG